CGGGCCGTGTCCCTACCTGCAGAAACTCGACCGTCTTATCCGGGAGTTTGGTCCCGATGTAGCGCAGCGTCTCCTTGTGGAACTTGCTCTGGAGGTGTCTCTGGATCTCCTCCTCCTCAAAACTGCGGAACTTGCAGACGGAACAGGCAAACTGGATTCTAAACAGAGCGACCGCACCGCAGATGAGGAGCGAGCTGCTCTTCACATCGAGCAAACCCCAGGCCACCACCTCCCCCGCTGTAATTCCCTCCCTTTTCCTTTTCCCCGGTGCCACCTCACGCCATTTCTCTTCGTCCGGAACCTTTACAACCCCCGCAGAACCCGCACGCCTCAAATAGCACCGGCTGCTCCAGAAAACTTTACGCTACGGACGCGAAAATCCCGCGCGAGTTTAAAAGCAACTGGAGAAATCCAGAGAGGAGGAGGCGAGGCGGCGCTCTTCGCGACGAAGACCCTCTCCCCGGTGCGGGAAAGCCCCGGGAGACAGGCGCTGGTGCCACCTTCGCTGCTCCGTTTGTCTTTAGAGGCATTATTGTATTATTTCAACAGCCAGGCTGCGCATGTAGCCACTCAAAGCACCCTTCTCAACATCACCGTGTGGTTTTTTCCCCCTTTTCGTGTGTTTTAGGACCGTTTAAAGCCAGTTATAACTACACTGACCCACGTATTCAGCCTCCCAGCATTCTCCTTATCTTCAAACGGTCACAAACCACACAAAAAGAGGAGAAAAATCCTCCTACCGCTCTGTGATTCTGTGGAAAAAAACCCGCTGAAATCAAAACGCAGAGCCCCAAAACTCCATCGATCCCCCAGCGGGTTTCACCCACGTTCCCGCCGAGGAGTAACCGCGGTAAATGGGTTTTTTCGCAGAGGTGCTGGGAAGGGCCCGGGCTCCTCGCTCCTCTTACCTGTCCATAGCGCGATCGCGCATCCGATCTCTTCTCCGCTGCTTCTCCCTCTTCTTTTTCACCTCCTCGTCGTCATCTTCGCAGCCATCTCCAGACGCTACGGCGGGGGAAAAAGGAATCAGAAGAATCACACCCCCCCGAGGCGTTTTGGGGCCAGAGTTGGCGGTTTCCTCTTCACTCGCAGCTTCGGGAAGCCACGACGTCGGTCGGTCCCCGGACGCTCTCGCTCGCCCAGGTCACCTCCTCACAGCGGGGAGGCAGCAGCCCCTTTGCTCCAGCGGTGGCTCCCAACCCCAACCCCAACCCCTCCTCTCCTCCAGCTCCCTCGACTCCCTGCGGACACTCAACGGCTTCGCAGGCAGCGACGGGACGCGCCGTTAGCGGGAAGAGCCCTTTCACGACGCTGCCGAGACACCTCCCCTCTCCCTCCTGCAGGAAAAGCTCCTACTTTCTCCCCCAATTCTCATTTTTTAACCCCGTTCACCTTATTTCACAAGGCGGAAAACGCTACTGAACGCAGCGAAGCCACCCAGCCCCGCTGGAGCGGCAGTTCCTTGGGACGGTTTTGGATGTATTCCTCACGTTGCCTCCCCAAGAATTCCTCGATAATTATCGGGAAAGCGAAAAAGTAGTAGAGATTCAGGTGACCCGATTATTTTGGGGTAGAAAGCTGCGAGTCAGAGGTCGCTCGGCCTCAAAGGACTCGGATAATAATTCACCTGCGACGTTTTCAGGTCCAGAAGCAGACCCGGGCATCAGAGGGGGGCTTCACCGAGGATTTTAACACCCAGCTGCGCCCCAGTTCCCAGCTACGCCCCAGTTCCCAGCTACGCCCCAGTTCCCAGTCTGAAAACAACCTTAAATCAGCAACAAAAGTCCCGCACGGGGCTTTCCCCAAGCCGCTCCGACGCAGAAGGCACAACGCGCCGGGGGCTGACGTGTCTTTACCAAAAAAGAAACCAACGACCCAAAACGAGCCGAGGTGGTTTCAGCTACTTTAGAGCCCGTGGGGTTTAAATTAACGATCCCACGGACCGTGATATATTCCCACCTACCGGAAAAAAAAAGCCAAAACTGACCCAAGGTTTAGCCCAGCGACCGAAGCCTCCGCTGGAAATTAGTTCCTTGACGTTATTTTTCGCGGCCCCAGCGCCGGAATATCCACGGAGGATAAACTCATCCCGCAGCCGCTCGTACGGACGGCGACGTCCGTGCCGAGAAGCCCAGGCGAAACGAAACCCTTCTGGCGCCCCCCTGCTAAGGGGAGGCAGCGCCGGAGCCCTGGGCGGGTTTAGGGGTCGCCCCCCAGCCTTGCCCCTGAAAAACACCAAGCTCTCGGATGCGCCCTGAGGCGAAACAGATGGATTCGGGGTGGGATTAGCCCCGGGGGACTGTGCGAGGGGGGGGTGACACCGTATCTTCCGCCACTGAATCGCCCAATTCCCGGTTCTCCTGGAAAAGAGAAACACAGAAAGACGCTGGTGTTATTTACGGCGATCTGGAGGTTTCGCAGCTCAGCCAGCCCGACCGCAGGGTTGGGGCATTTGGGGATGAAAACGTCCGTTTTTAGGAGTGTTTACAAAATAATTCTTTTCCATAGACCCCGTTATACGTCACGGCTAAGCATCGCTTCTCGCCACCCAAATTCGGCAGCCGAGGCGCCGCGCCGAGCAGCGCCGTACCGGAGGTTACGCACGGGCGCCGCTAAAACCAACAGCCCTGACACCACCCCCGCCCCCCCCAAAACGAGGAAAGAAATCAACCACTAATTGGAATTCAGCCCTAACGAGCTCTGCCAGAAGCAGCTCAGGCGCAGGATCCTCACCTTCCCACTCCAAGTGCTCCTCAGGCGCCGCGGCGCCAGCGACCCTGCCAGCCACCCCCGCTGAAGGGCACGGGGAAACGACGAGGAGCAAGTACTTGCACAACATACGGGCTCAAAATGCCGTTTCTGGGCGATTTTCACTATTCTGCCCCTCAGCGCCGTCAAAAGAGCCCAGGAAATGGCTCGAGTGCTGAAATATTCCCGCATTTGCCACAAAGACTGATTAAAAAACCAAGTTACTTACACCTTTGTCCGCTTCATCTCCTGATTTGTCCTCTCCTTCGCCCTCATCTGTTGCACACAAGAGAGCTCATTTAGCTGGGGGGTCTTTCCTCCCACATCACGCCCCAAGGGGCCCGCAACAGCTCCCCAACCACCGCGATAACGGCTCAAAACCCCCGTGAAGATGGCGAAGAGCTCCCTGGTTTCTCCTTGCCCGACAGGCTCCGCTGCAAACTTCCACAACGCTCAACCTCAGGCGTTAAATTTTTCGGCCCGGGCCGTAAAATACACAGACCCGACGGCCTGTGTCTTGCAGGGGCATTAAAACAACAGCAACGACCAACGAAAAACCATGATGGCTTTGAAAAGGAACCACCCTCCATCAAGATGTAACGGTAGATAACGAGGTAGGAAAGATAAACCACCTAAAATCAGGGAAAACGGCCGACGGGGGGTGAAGACGGGCTCGTACCGTTCTCGGTGTCGTCTCCTTCGCTGTCGGTCTTCGCCTGTTTGCTGTCCGGCTCGTCTCCGCTTTGCGACTGTTTTCGCTTGCGCCCTCCTCCCTCGCCGTCCGATCGCCCTCCGGAGCGGTTTCGGAAGCCTCTTCTCTTGGGCTAAACGGGAAGAAGTCAGCGGCATCGGTCAACTCGAGGCGCCAAAGAAAACCACCAAACCAAGCTTAAAAATCAAAGTATTTGACCCATCGCCTGGAAAAGTTTCAGTTCTGGCGAGCCTGCAGACTCATTTTGGGCTATAAAGGGATTTTACAGCTGCCCCTCGAGAGCGGATTTGGGAGGGGGGAAGCCCCCAGAGGCTCTATTTTACGTGCACGTGGGTATAACACAAGCTTGGCGATGTCCTGCTCTCTCCGGGAGGATTTAAACTACCCCGAGCAACGGGATTTGAGCCTCGCGCTTCTCCAAAGGCCTCGCCTCACGGCGGGAACAGCGAAGCCGACGCAGGCAAAAAGCAACCTCGGCAAGGGAAAAAAAAAAACACAAACCACCCAACAAACCAAAAACCAGCCCAACGGTGACGACTTACCATGAGCGCGTTCATGTGCCAGGGCATCGTACCCATGCGGTCGCGGTTCCGCTGCCTCCCCATTCCGTACGGCACATTCCCGTACCGTCCCATGCCCATGCCCGACATCCCCATCATGCCATAGTCATAGTCTCCGTAGTCACCGTAGTCGCCGTAATCGCCATAATCGCCGTAATCCCCATAGTCGCCGTAGTCGCCGTAATCCCCGTAGTCGGGAACGAGGGCTTGGGAGAAGAGGGAGGGGAGCCTGTTGGAGCCGGCGCCCCCCATCCCGCGCCCGCCCATGTAGTTCAACTCGTTCCAACGAGCCGAGAGGCGCTCGGAGCTGGAGGAGGGCATGAAGTGGTCGGAGCGGTTGAAGGCGTTCAGCCGCCCTCGATTCTGAACGCGGTTCTGACCCCGGCCTCGCATGAGGCCGTAGTTGTTTCCTCGGTTGCGGGACTGATCCCGGCGGTTATCGAACTGGCTCCCGAAGGAATCGTTGCGATCGGTCCCCACGTCTCCGTAGTCGTAGCCGGAGCGGTACATGTCGCGGTCGTTCATCGAAGACCTCGAGTCGTAGGATTCGAAAGACTCAAATCTGAAAGAGCTGCAGCAGGAGGAGACAAGAGTCAGCAGCTCGATTAGTGTTTACCGGTTTTATCACAGTCCAAGCGGTTTTGGCCCAAAAAACAGGCTAAAACGATTTTTAAACGTCGCATAACAATCACTTCCCGCATCCCACAGCGCTTTTTCACCTTATTCTCGGGGGAAATAAATAAGTATCAAAGACCCGGGGCTTTCTGCCCGAGGGTCTGAGCAGAAATCCTTCGGAGAGGTCAGAACCTTACCAACTAACTGCCCTGAATTATGTTTGCCGGAAAAAGCAGATCCCAAAAGCTTCTCCAGGGAAAAGCCGCTTCTCGCTGCCTCTCGGCTGCGAATCAGCCCAGACAAACCCCCTCTGACTGCAGCAGCGAGCATCCAATCGCCCAAAAAAAAAAGGGGAAAACTTCATTTATTCACTAACTCTTGCCAGGATCTGTATTATGATTCCATCGGCAAACCACGCACCGGTACGAAACACCCCTCCAGCCTGGCGTAACTTAACCCAGCCGGAGAACTAAGTGATTACTGGGCAGCCATGAGAAAAAAGGGATGCAGAAGGGAAAAAAAAAAAAACAACTCCTAAAAACTCTAAATAAAAAACCTTCTGCAAGACCCAGGAATTGCCCCGAGACACGGAAAGCTGCTTCGAACGGCTGATGGGCACATGGAGTTTGGGAGAGGTATAAAATACGGACACACGCGCCTCAGGGCAGGTCAAAAACGAGCAGCGACGTTTATTTTCCGAGGAGCAAACGCGGTTAAACCGGCTCAATCTGACCCCAGAGCGATTCAAGAAATTAAGTTTTTGCTATAAAAATGAAACCGGAAGCGGGACAAGTCACCTCTCCTGGTCTTCCATCCCCTCCCCTGTCCCGCCGCTGCCCTCCTTCGACAGCATATCCAACCGCTGGTTGATTTTGGCGATGATGGAATCCGAGTTCTCGTTGGCCGAAGCCTCGGCGCCGTAGGAGGCGACGGGCATGGCGGCGCCGACGTCGGCGTTCAGGCTCATATCCGAAGTTTTCGGCGTTTCCCAGCTGCTGGAGGTGGCTGCGGCGTAGTTGTAGGTGGCCGCCGTGTTC